TACCCTGGCACGGATATTTAGTTGATCGATAGCGGATGCGAGACAGCCAGGGCATGAGCTCATCGGCTTGGAATGTCGTGGCCCTCCTGAAGCTAGTCGTTCAAGTAATTCAGTGGTTGTTTATGTGCTCTTGTACTGTGTCGCTCGGGATATGATGGACTCTGGAGCAGCATACATAAGGATATTGAGGCGGAGAACATGAGGTACGCAAAGGTTGTGGATTCGGATGGCTCGCTTTGCTGTGTCTAGGCAGGCAGGTAAACCACGTTCCTAGCTAGAGCGGACGACAGAGCAGAGCCGAGTCTAGTTCGAAAACGTGTGCTTTGGTACGAAGTATAGATCATCGGTCCAGACTCTAGAGTAGTCGTATGGGATTCCGACTTGTCCGATCATGGCCAACACGAAAGACGAAGGTTCGAGGGGCCCCAAGTCCCCTGTCCCATGTGCCGGGCGTGGGGGCAGGCTCGCGTTGCACCGGCAGATGGTCGCTAACACTCCATCAGCATCAGGGCCGCCACGGACGGGACACGAGAGAAGGTCAAACCTTGGAGAAGCGATACCCATGTGGCTGCTCTGTTTGAGTTTGAGATGGGTATCTCATTCTCGCATTTGACGTTGATGGTAGTGGACACCGTGTGGGGATTGACCAGAGTGAGAGTTTAGGTCGTGCCGTGACCTCTATTGTCAATGTGTGCAGACCCGGGTCAACAAAGGCACGAGGTCCTCTGTATGGATAAGTGTTGAGTACCTTATGCGTATCCGTAGACTGTTGCACCAACGGAAGGAGTCTCGGTCAACCGCCGATGGATGGGATGGGACCGTAATGTCGTCTTCTTGCCCAGTCATGAGAGCTCAGTGTCCAGCACAAAATGCGGAGTTTTCTCCGGCGAGGCAGATCCACGTAAGGTAAGGTAAGGTAGGTACCGACAGTGTAAGGTGCCTACCTACCTTACTTGTAAGGTCAAGAGCACAGGATCACGAGGATGGGTAAAGCTGTCTTGCGTGACGCCCCTTTGCAAGCAGGTACAAATCTCTCTGCCTTCCGTGAGTGCTTGACCTGCCTTGGGACCCGGGAGAGAGCCCCTTCCTCGAACTACCTATGAAGAAAAGCATGGACCTTCCATTCGTAGGAAGGCAGGAAGGTGCGGGCAGGTTGAGCTTGGAGGAAGGAGGGATCCTGGCTAAGGTCCAGTGGGAACACGGGAAGGCACAGCCATGTCTGCTTCGCGGACCGCCCACCTCGGTGCACAGACGACCGGGAAGCGACTACGAATAGAGGGGCCCGGTGACTACCTAGTGATGGCAGTATGGCAGATGGGAAGAGGAAGGGACGCACGGAATACCAGGGACCTCTTACCTTTCTTGCTTTAACCTCAACGGAAGTGGTGGAAGGCACCTCGCAAAAGTAAGGTACGGATACGGGTGCCTTCCATAACACCTTAGGTACCTTACCTTAGGTACCTTATTCACCTTTGTAAGTGCGCCAGATATCGTCCCTTCCTGCCTTTTGCCCCATACCTTCCATGCATGCATTGTGTTCCTCAGGTACCTACCTTAGTATTTCATAGGGTAGGTACACTTCAGTAAAAAGGCACGTGGTGGAGGAGGTACTTTGGGGGCCTGGGAAAGTCCGGGTCAACCTCTCACCTCATCTCATGCATAGAACACAGGCAAACCTCAGGCTCACTTTTACTTGTCATTATTACAATTGCCCGAGGAATTGCAGTTTGACCTTGGCAGTGCGACAGACTTTAACTTCCATTGACTCTCTTTTCATTCCGAAGCACTTACACCCTCTTTAGACGAGAGGTCTCTGAGAGAAGCAGAAGCATGGATTGGTCCCAAGGACCCCCTATCCACTGTCAGGGTCGTGCCCACTACAGTACGTGCTAGGCCCTGCAAGATTGGACTCTGAGGTTTGAACGCACCGAGGGAGCCACTAACAGTGGAAGCAACAGTCTAACATCGCCCTAGATCATCGCCCTAATTAAACATGGAGTCTACGGATACTTCCAGTTTCCACCGATATGTCGACATCCTCCTTATGTTTCAATATCCAGGCTCTCACACTCTATGTACATACGCATATTTCGTACGGATAGACTCCAGCCTCCGTGCCCCCGTACCTCCGAACCCTGGCAGCCCGCAGTCATTCGATGAGGTGCCGACCTTCTAAGTTGTCCATTCGTTTCCGCCGGCAATAGACCACCAACTAGGCGAGACGCCGGCCAAGACTGCTCACCAATACCATGTCTCTGTCATCACTCGATCCTCACGAATATACCCAAGACAATACGCAGCAGTTCCACCCCGGCAAGCCCTCCCACAAGGTACCCATATCCCGAACCTGAACTTGAACCCCAGTCTCAATGCCGACGAACAGCCACTTTCAAGACGACGACGAAGACGACGACCACGACCACGACCACGAACGCAAATTACTCGGAAGGAAAAAGAAACAAGACGACGGGCAGCATCAAAACAGCACCAACCTGATCATGTCGAAGCCCCGGCCTCTAAGCCAGAGCCCGCCTCCTACGCAGCCCGGCCCAGCGCGCCGCATCTGCATTGCAGCTTGCTTGCAGTGACAGGGCGCCATGGCACCAACCAGAACAACGCAACAAGACTTCTGCCGCTCCCGACAAGTTTCAATCTGAGGCGAACCCTCTCCCCCCCGGCTCCTACATCTCAGCCAGCCATACCTACATACATTGATATACTCCGTACGCTTCTCCTTCACATTGCCAAACCGACACATCGCCATGCATCGTATAAGCTTTCATGGCCCATGACTGGTTTTCCAAACAGCTCCGAACCCCACGGCGCCCCTAGTCCCGACACCCATTCTCTTTGGGCGGCGACTTGTCTCTGCCTAAAGGGTTTCCCTGCCAGAGCTGAGCTGCGAAGCTGAGGCGCTTTCGACGCCCTGTCTGGACTACATTATCTCTTAGACCTTGCCGTGGTTGGCTCACGACCACGCGATGGATCGAGGTACATGTCCATGGCAGTCGAGATGGTGCTGCGTTCCCCCGGCTCTTTGCGGCTCGCCTTGCCTTCCTTCACGGCGCGCCATTTCGGCCGACAGGACCACAGACTCTTCGTGTCTGTGACCCTGACTGGATCTCCAGACTCCATGCCATCCATCATGATCCTCACAGACTCCGACACACCATGCCATGGATGCCACTCACCCACGGTTCCACGGTCGTCCCACCCCCACCCACAAATGGCTCCGCGCACAGCACCGGCCAGTCACGCCGCACATCGCTCACCAGCTCTTTGCTGATTCGCCAACCAACGATAGACTACTCCGCCCCGTCTCTTCACCTTGACAGTTGACTCTGACCAGAGCCCGTCGTCTTTCCAAATCCAGCCGCCTGCATATGCAGTGACAGGCCTCAGAAGCATGACCTTCGGTCTCACAGTCCACCATGATATCATGGTACAGAGACTTCTCCTACGCTTCGCTGCCCCAACGCCCATGGACAAGTACCGACCAACGCTGGCTCAATTCGCTTTGTGCCCGAAATGGAGCAAACCACCGTGATCCCATCTTTTCCCTGGACTCTCGTCTGGTTGGGTCCTGACTCCTGCACGACTACTACATACGGCTTACCATAGGACAAGGTTGAAGGTGCCCTTATTACTCTTAGCCTCTCACACAGTACCTAATAGTCTTGACTCTTGAGTCTTCACTGCTGGAACCCCCCCCCCCCCAATATCCATCTCCGAGTTTCTCTCCATCTCCCCACTCTTCTTGACACAACGCGACACGATCCCAAGCAATGATGCACCCTCCTTGTCAGGTTTGTCTCGCATCGTCCCGGTCAGTTTTCTTCACCTTCATGGCGGCTGTCGGCCGATTGCCAACTCTTCGTTCCGCCAGCGGAACCAGTGCAAGGCGCAGGAGCAATACGGATAGATCCATTGCGATTTCTAAGAACCGGCCACTTAGCTGGCCTGAACTTGTCGACTCATGAGTCGTGCGAATTAACGATCGACTGTCGGTCGCCGGTCCCCTCTCAGTCTTGTCATGGTCAATACTGACCAGCCTGCAGAAAAGACAAACGGGCTGTCGTCTCTCACTTTTCTCTCTTGTTAGTGTAGGAATGGAATGGTTTTCTTGCTCACTTCGTCTCAAGCAGTCGAGGTGGAGTCTCCGCGAATACAACATGGCCGCGCATGACTTGAGCCCAAGGACTCAGGGAGTCGACGCACAGTCCAGCTTTCTGGCCAAGCCAGCCTCTGGTCAAAGCCAAAAGAAAATCTACGACGGCGAATCACAGCTCTTGACACCATCGTGGGGTGGTGTCGTGCGGGTAGCGACTTGCAGTACTTGAGGGTACCTTGCTGTCACTGGCAAGGGTTGTCGGCCATATTGCGCTAGCAACGACCGGGGCTGATGGAGGAGTCAGGAGGGGCCTGGCGAGATGTGGGAGCGGCGGACAGGACGTTGGCGAAAGAGAGAAAGAAAGGGAGAGAGACTGAGAAAGGCACCCATTTTCTCACTCTTTCTTTCTCTCCTCGTCTCTCTGTCTTACGTCGTCTGTTCACGCGTACTTACTCTCCTCTCTGCTTCTCGACGACGGTGGGTACCGGTCCTTGTAATTAGTACGCCGTACTGCACCACTGCATCGTACCTAGGTGGAGGAGAGAGATGCTGTCAAGGATGCCCCGAAATCCACTTGTCATCCACCGTCGACAAGAGCCAAGCTGACAGCGATTCGGTTCGTGTCTTTTTCTACGATTATCTGTACATAGAACTCCATACGGAGTACCCTCGTCGTTAAACGGTGACCACTAGGCTCTTTAATTAGCATGGCCTTTCTCACGGCACTGACGGCACAGATAGGGACTGCCCTGGGGGCGGAGGAGCAAGGAAGCTGGCAGCAGAGAGCATCAAAACCCCGGCTGTCGTCTTGGCACAAGTCGGTGCGACGTGAGACCTCACCACCACTTCGCTGCTCACCTCACATCCCACACCGTCCTTATCCGCCCGTGTTCACCCATGTTCGCCCATCCATCGTGTGGGTACTATCTATGTATTCGTACGGAGGCTAATACTGGCAGGCAAGCAGGCAGGCAGACAGTCTTGTTTCCCATGCTCCGTATGAAGTATCCGTACCCCCATCCCCCATGGGCCATTCATTCTCGCACCTTGCTTGAGGGGAGCTACCCAATGTGCTAGGGGACCTTAGTGCGTATGGGAGAAACATCGATTCTCTGCATGTCTTCCCTCATTCACCTCGAGACCCTGTCGCCGTCCCGATTTCCCACCCACTAGCAGCGCAGCTATCTGCAGATATGTATATGCATATCCCGCCCCTCGAAGCGGCTGGCCCCATATCCTGTCGTCCAACGACCCTCTTTCCTTTCCCACTTCGTCTCGACGACAAGCTGGCTCCCAAATAAGACCCAGCGATCATCTCTCCACCCCATCTCAGCCCCTCCATTCCACGTCGGCTTTCCCAGTGATCAGCCTTTCCCTTCTTCTTGAGCGGACCGCAACGGTCTTGATCTTCAGAAGACTCCTCGCCCGCTTCCCTGTCTCATCCATCTCGACATTGGTCACTCGTCCTCGAGAGAGTTATCATTTGACTGCCGTCCTTTCCTTTCCTCCCCGCTTGACCTCACACACCGTTCGACATCCCGTAGCTTTCACCAGACTCTACGATTGATCGACAACTCAGGCTGTCCCAGATCCTATCCTGTCGCCACCGCATCAGCACCACACCTCGGACGAATCGCTTTAACAACTGGCCACCAGAATCTCACCGGTTTTGAGTATTTCGTGTTGGCATGGTCTCGCTAGTGACGAGCCATGGATTCTACCTCTCTCTCAATGGTTTCGGACGACGGGGACCTCTCATGGTCGGACAACCACAGTAACCCTTCAGACGACAACATGCAAGACGACATGCTGCTTCCACACCAACCAACCTCCCAAACGGCAGCGGCCTGGATGGCCTCGACCAGCATTCCTCAATCTCTCTCCGGGCAGCTGTCTCCCGTCAGCGCCGCCGTAGATATCCCCCATTTGGAGCCGTCCGGCGACCCGACAATGGTACACTCCGCATCCTCGTCCTGCACCGATTCCTGGAGCACTGGCCATGCCGATACGTGCGATGGAGACGATGCTGACAACGACATTGTATGGGAACAGGAATCGGACGACACTTTCGCCATTATACCCAAACTTGAACCCATGGACGACGACGATCTAAAGCTGGGCGATGTCAAGGAGGCTCCACTAGCGCAAACAGAAACTACCTTGGTATCGGCCACAAACTCACTGAAGCAGAAGCGACCCCGAGGAAGACCCCGCAAACATCCTGTAGCATCCATCATCAACCAAAGCAAGGTGACCAAGGGTCGATCCAAGACGGGCTGTATTACCTGTCGGAGACGGAAGAAGAAGTGTGACGAGGCGAAGCCGAGATGTAAGTGTTACTGCCGTCTCACTGCTTGGGACTTTTTCCCCCTGACACGTAAGCAGGTATGAATTGCGAGAAGAATGCTGTCGTCTGCGAGGGCTATCATGAGAAGAAGCTTTGGAGAAGCGGCAAAGAAAAGGCAACAATTGGTGAGTGCTCGCTCATATGAACCCAGCAAATTTGTTGATGGTCTAACCCGGAAGAAGATCACGTTGGGGATGAGGAGTCGCTCGTTTTCACCATGCAACCTCTGTTCAACGGCGTCGACACAATCGAGGACAAGATATTCTGGAGACACTACGGCGTCCACCTCAGCAACGTTCTGACTGTTGAGGGAGAAGCCAAGAATGCCTTCAAGGACATTATTCTTCCTTTGGCAAACCTCCACCAGGGCGTGATGCACTCGATCCTGGCCATGAGCAGCAAACACATCGACTTTGATACACCGTACGGCGCCAAGTTACTCGAGAGAAATCCGACAACCACCCTAGAAGCGCTACAGGCCCGGTCAGCATATCACGAGGAACAAGCGATGAAGACTCTGTACGCCGACATGAACCGTTCGGCGGAGGAGGACATTGATGATCGCGAAACTATCTTGTCGGCTCGCTACGCCCAAATCCTTTGCCTCCTAGTCACCACGCTCATTGAAGGTGAATCTCATGGAGCGCATCGTGTTCACCTGAGCGGATACAAGCAATTGATCCAAGAGAGCCCTCCAGAGGATCCCGTCTTCCTGGCCTTCATCAGCGAATTCTTCCAGTACCACATTTACGCAGACGAACTCCTCTGGCATCCCGCGCCCGGCCGTCCACGCTTGGCTTCCGAAGATTGGAGCTCTCTGGTCCCCTTGGACTCGCCTCGTCTTCTGGGTGTTGCTGATGGCCTATTTCAACATCTCTGCCAGATCACCACCATCCGAAACGTCATCCGGGATAACATTTACAGACGCGCCGAGACTGTCGTGACGTATCACGTTCTGTACCGAGCGCAAGAGATTCAAGAGGCTATTGAGCAATGGATGCCTCTTTGGCCACCAGGCGATAGCCGTCACAGAGTTGGGCTGGTTTACAAACACATGATGTTCCTGCATCTCTTCCGCACAATCTACCCACCTACCTCTCCAGAGAGACGGCCTTCCGTCTACTCTATAGCTACATCCGTCGCCACCTCGACCTCGTCGTCTTCCTCCCGCCGGCATTCGCAAATTTCTAGGCCGTCTACGGCGACGAGCTGCGCCTCGTCTCCCGGCCTGAGGCCCAGCATGGGTTCTGGGTTCCCCTCTTCGATGCAGCTCAAACGGGAGCCAAACTCTCGAGGACCGTCCAGGACGAGCTCGATGCATGAGTCCGATGCCGGGTCCTCTAGCTGCGCAGTGATTGACGAACAACGCCCGGCCTCTCCACCGCCGGTTCGCCGCCCGCAGCAGCATGACAATCGCATCACTGCGGCGGTGGACGAGTCTCTATCGATCATGGAGGGATTCAAGCCATCGGACCCAGCCCTTACCCTTTTGCTGATGCCAAGTCTGGTCATTGGCACTACGTGCTTCGACCCCACGCAGCAAGAGCGTCTTCGAGGCATCATCCGGTCGGTCCGGGGCTACACTGGTCTTCGCAACTGCGACAGAGTCCTCGAGGTCCTGGAAGAAGTCTGGCACCTCATGGAGTGTGGCGAATGGATTGCTGTCTGGGACTGGCAGAGCGTTGCCAGACGCCTCGGACTGGATTTCTTGTGCACCTGAACTACATTAGCCAGTTCACGGCGGATGGCATCAATCCATCCGTGCTGTTCTTGTACTCGCCAGATGCTCTTCTCACTTTCTTCTTTATTGCCTTCCTCCCGGTATACCCGCGCGTTGTATTCTTTCTTCCCTCGTCCTTTCACTCTCACACTCACATTCTTCTCTTTTCCTCCTCGGGTCGGCACTACTGTGGTCGGAGTTACTGGGTGAAGCATGTCATGGGGGCGACATCATGTGGGGCCACTTGCATTCCGGCTTCGCACGACGCCATGGGATTGGGATAGGCAACGGAAGGGGGGAGCGATTGGTGAACCTTGACATCCTAGACAACAAGACGGGATGGCAGTCGGGAGATTGCTAGCTTGTCATCGCGTTGATCCTTTTTTTTCCTTCCCTATTCTCCGCACGGCGGCGTTTCTTTTTTTGTACTTTTGAGGGTCGGCTGCCAGTCTTTTTTTTTTTTTTTTGGTTCCCTATATTTTCTTCTTCTCTCTTGTGGTTTCGTATTGGCTTTTTGGGTTAATGGGACGGACAAGGAAACTGTCTGGATCTGGGCGGCTCGGACTCTGTTCCGATTTGAAATTTATCGCAACATCTGTTATGCTCGTTTGAACGGCTTTCCCCGGAATTTGGCTCCAGGGAAAGTCGAAGGCGATGCATGCAAGTACTATATGAGCCAGTATTATCATGGCATTGGAGGATTATGGTCGCAACACAATACAATCTGCGCTGGTTGCGCCTCTCCTCACTCTTTTACAATTGCCTCTCGCCTTCGCATCGTGTGTCCTTTGCCTGTTGCTAAGCTGATGGTACACAGAGGTATGGTATCTCGTTGATTAGACGCATGAGATGGAGCTGCGGCGTCATCCACCGACCCCCCCCCCCCCCCTCGGACGACATTGAATGATCCGACATTCGCATCCGAAGCGTGGCCGTGGGTGCATGTTCGGACAAAAACGATGGGTTGTGCAGTGAAGATCCCTATTTGCCGACACGGCCGTGAGAGCCGAATTATCCAACCCACTCATTCTGGGGCCCATCCCTTTGCTTTGCAGTTGGGTGCATGTACTCTCTACTTTTCACTGTACCTTGAATGATAACTAGAAGTAAGAGGGACTTCAGATACAACCGACGCTGATCATCACATCTGGAACCATTCCGACCACTTGCCTGGCCCGTCTCTCGAGTCTCGACTTTCTCCCTCCAGCGGTTTCGAGGACGGACATTATTCTCCCGTTGGATGGGAGCCGCCGGTCGATGGGGATGGATCATGGACGAGAGGGACCGGGGTGTCGGGGTCGGCTTCAGGGTCAGGATCGAGGTGTGTGGTGGGGGCGCCGGGGGGTGTACGCGACTACTGTACGTCTGGATATGGGATAGTTGGAGACTCGACTTGGAGTCGCTGTGAGATGCTGCAGGGAAATGGAGCTGCTGCTGCACAACTGAGGACCAAGAAAGTTTCAATCTTTGCCTTCAGTCTTAGTCGGCAGTCTCACACTGGGCGAGAGGATACGCAGTACGGAGGAGGGTGAGGAGCTAAGCTTGCGACAGCTTGCAGAGACCCCTCTTCCTCCAGGCAGGCCTCCAAGCTCTCTTCCTCAAATAGGTATTCTTCCTCCTCCCCCTGTTGATGGTCATCACTGGGGCACTGGCACGGTGCAGTTGGAGCTACGAGCGAGCCGACGGGGGGGACGCGATGGCGCGCAATCTACGGGACCAGGCCAGGGGGAGCTTGGAGAGCCTAGAGGAGCGTTGTCACGTTGGAGAGATTTGGGGGCCCTTTCACTAATTCCCGTTTGTTCTTGGCCCAGGGTATTTATCTGGGTGCGATGTATCTGTACGTCTGAGGCATGGACGGGGGGTTTTTTCTGGTACTATATGAGATATCATTGATTGCTGCGTAGACGTTTTGGTCTACTTCTTCCGGAGTAAATTGATCTCGGCCGCTGATTCTTTTTGGTTGACCTACCTTACCCACTGCTACAGTGCCCGGCAATTCGTTGTGCTCCGAGTAGGCAAAGTGCTTACGGAGGACACCCATTTCGTATGTAAACGTCGGATACTCGGGCGGGAAAGGCTGCCGTGGTGCGTTGCTTGCTTGTCCCGGTTCATCCTCACCTTCTGCTGCAGCGTGTATCCGTTCGGATATCGGATGATTTTTGTGGTATTTCATTGCTCGAGCTGTGCTGGTGGTGGTCCGCTGGAGACAGCGAAAGAAAGTGGTGCGACCGTTGGGAAAGCGGAGAGGCTCTCCGCATTTCATTTTGCTCCCCTCCAGGGTCCCCAGAAAATCCCTGAGGAAGAGAAGGAGGACGGATCTGGTGGGAGCTTCAAAGGGAAAGGAAGTGAGAGCAAACGCTGCTACATACTACGTAGAAAACGCCGGGTATGTCGCTGTCAACGTTGGACCAATCTACCGTGCCACCGTCCACGTCGCACAGAACCGTCGGCCGGTGTTTGAAGGGTATCCCCCGGGACGGCGCTTCGGGAAGGTCGGCGGCGCGCTGCGGGAGAGAAATGGCGCGGGGATGCGATGGTGGTGGTGGTGGTTGGTTGGTAACTTGGTACGTGCTTTCATCTTCAAGGTTTCTGCGTCTTGCGTTTTTGCTTTTTTCCATTTTCTTTCCTCCGCATTTCCCTCATCTACGGAGTACGTTAACCCATTCTCCTTTCTTTTTTATACTTGCAGAGTCTGAGGGTACTATCCCAACGTCTCGAATCCGAGACATGCAGAAACAACTTGGACCAACGAGATGCGGTAGGTAGTAGGTAGGTATTCGCACCCAGTGACAACGCCTGGCGAGGTGGTGTCTTGAGATTCGGCAAGGGACAGGCCTGGTCAAACCATCAAAGTCGTGATGTCGTCGAACATGGGGGTGAGGGGTGTCTCCACTCCAAGCGGCGTTATCTGACGGGCTGGTCATTGCTACATAAAGTACATTGTCGCGAGATTGAGCTGGAGCAGCGGTGCATACTACACGATACAGGGCCCCGAGGTGCCGAGCCACGATGGTAACGAACAAATGAACGATTGGTATCCACGGGATAGCAGAGTTTGGGCGTGCAGTTCAGCAAGGGTAGGTTTACATTGATAGCTACAAAAGTCATGGGATACAAAAGAAATCTTTCGAGCTGCTGCAATCTACAGTGCAATCGGCCATCGTACAGGGGGACAGGCGCAACATGTCGCAATGTCCCTCTCCTCTCCCCGAGCCAAAGAGCCCAGGATCTATCCGCAAACGTGCTCTATCGTACAGGTTGGGGTCGTCGCATTCCCAGCCACGCATTATTGTGCCTGCGAACGCGCATGTCGCATCTGGATGAGCCACACATCCAGCTCTCAGCTACTCCATTCGATGGACGACACGTAGCTGGCAAGCCGGTGTCATCCTGTTCATCTCTTCAGGCTTCATCCCATATCGGCCGAGTCCATCGACCTAGTCGCATAATCGATCAGCGCCAGATCGTTGTCCGATCTAAGGGTCGCACTCGAAGTTGATAGGTCGTGGTGGGCCATAGGATGGGACAATTAGATCTGAGCTCGCGTCACACTGTCCCATCACCATCACTCGGTCTCGTCTCGTAAAGCAGCTCGGCTCTTGGATGTAGCAGCCTCGATGGTGGACCCCGTGTCGCCATCCGACTATTGAAGATCTGACCAGACCAGACTCAGGCTCAGACGTACGTGCCTCAATCTTCACCCTCAATAAGCTTGACGGTAACGCCGTTCTTGCCGTCACGAGCAATCTGATACTTGCCACCGAGGACAAGGTCCTTGGCAACAAGCTCGCGCGTGCGGCCGAGGGACTCAATGTCACCGATACGCTGGATCGTAGCCTCCAGATGATCCCGGAAGCCCTTCTCAGCGCAGATCTCTTGGAACGCGCGGTGCATCGGCACAGATGAGGCGCGGACCTCAGCATTGGCCGCGATACTAAACAGGTTGAGCCGGTCCATGTCACGTATGAAGTCGGCACGCGTCATGATTTGCTGCGCCTTGTGCATCGGGAACCTGGGCAGTACGTGACCCTTTTCGTCGTCGTACAGCTCCATGTCTTCTTCCTCATCTACGAGGGCTTGAGCGAGTACCATAGCGCCGGCCTGTCATTTGTTGTCAGTTCAGACTGTCCACTAGAGTTTCCCATGCCAGCTTGCGACGATGCGTAAAGGGGGGTCGTAACGTACAGCCCACTTCTGCTGGTCCATCACATCGTCGTCCATCTCGGCGCCGAGAATCCAGCACTGGTTGAGAAACCATGTTTTCTCGACCTCACAGATGGATTTGCACGTAGCAATCATGTCTCTGCTTTTAGCAACGCGGTTCAAGAACGAGAGTCGGCCGCCCACGAGGTCATATACCTCCTCAAGTCTCGTTGGGCTCAACTTCTCGTTGAAGTACTTCATGCGGTACTTTGCGAGAGCTGCGATAGCTTGGCGTTTGGGCAGGTCGCGCACCGACATGATCTCCATACGCGTAGCTAGCTGCTTGAATCGCTCGTATACCCAGTAGTCATCCGTGTTGAAGACCATCGTCACGAGGTTGGACGCCGCCCATTGTTCGGCACGTTGCTGAAGAAGTTCGATCAAGTCCTTGCCATCGTCATCGTCGCGGATCAGGTGCATCTGGTTGATGATGACAACCAGGGGCTTCTTTCGCGTTTCACGGTTGACCAGAGCAACTTTTTCAAGCTTGTTGAGGGCACGTTCGATATCCAACAGAGCCGTCGTGTCGCGAGGACCGCGTTCGCTGAAGTAACCGCCAATGTAATCCTCATGGAACTCAAAGTCGAGGGCCTTGCCGAGGCGTATGCGCACGATTTCCAAATCTGCGTGGGCCTCAAACATGGCCACGCCTTCGCCGTCGATTTTACGCATGGCCTCGATCAGCATGCTGCTCTTGCCAGTCCCCTTCTCGCCCATGAGCAAAAAATAGTGCCCAGCCTTTGACCCATCGATAATTCTGTCGACGCGTGCCTGCTCTGGCCGCTGCACCCACCGATCATCGGCCTCGGCGGAGGTTTGCGGTACTTCCTTACCAATAGCGGCCAGCTCAAGAACGGGGTCGCCAGGCGTGAAGGCGCGGGTCATCTTCTTCAGGACAATGCGCTTGTACGTCTTGTGGTAAGCGTAGCCTGCCACTGCGAAGCCGACAGCCAGAACGAGGATGGAGGCGAACGAGGTCGCGGCGGACTCGAGCATCTTCTTGGGAAGACTATCGCCGCCATCTTGGGCTCTAGGAGCGACAGGATCTGACTTTGAGCTTGACTGCGGTTGATCTAGGTTGAAGGTCAGCTCTTGTTCAACGATACGAGGATCTTTCACTTGAGATTCCTCTTCATTGGCTCAAAACGCAAGGTCCGTTCTACAAAAAAGTGCATAGGTGACGGTCGTTTATTAGCAAGATGTGACAGCAACCGGTTCGCAGCCTGATTCGCCGTGGAAACCAGTCGAGATCTGATCTGCAGCATCTTGGCTTGCAGGATCGGGTCCTCGGCTACACAGAGATGTAGCATCCCTGTCCAAAACATTCAGAGGAGGCGGATATCTGGCGCCCAGCCTCGCGCAGTCGCACCCCATTGGGCTTCTTGCAGGTGCCGTATTATATTCATCCCGCCAACATTGCATGAAGGAAGCAGATGAAGCTGCCACGGTGAGAGTGCAACCACGCAGCGACGACAAGAAAGGATGGGGGAACTTGGAGAGGTACACACGAAGAAATGAGAACGTACGCGCACCAACTCACCGGATCTTGCTGGCGGGTGTGTGGAGAAGTAGGCGACGGCCGTCTTGATGTTGACGGCGGATGAAGGTGGTGGTGCCAATGCCGGTGCCGTCCTTGCCGGTGCTGACAGCGGCCCCCAAGAACTGCGGCCGAGGCGGCAGCCACGCGTTCCAACCCACCGGGTCGGAGAGGGGCGCAAGTGCGACAGCATACGCTGCCCACCCTTGCTCGCCAAAGTCATTGCTATATTATGTGATGAGCATCTGCAGGGCCTGCTGCGGCTCGATTCCGATGGCGACGGGCCGCTGAGAGGTCCTCGCCGAGTGAGAGAGAGCGTCTCGGAGTGGAGGGGGGGAAAAGGCCGGCCGGCAGGCTTTTGGCGGGCAGTAAATGTGGTGTAGAGAATTAAGCAAGGCACAGCGGAGAGTGCGAGATTTTGTGTTTATGGAACAGACAACAGGGAAATTAAAGAGAGAAAGAAGTGAACAGGACAAAGAGTCAGTGTCGGTCAAGCCACAGGGGAAAAAAAAACAGGAAACACAACACGTCGGTGCTACGAAAGGAGAGGACTCCGAGAGCTCCTGCTACATCTTTGGCCTTTCTTGGCATGGTTCTTGACCTTCTTTCCTTGGCATTGGCCCCTGCCCAGCTGAGACGAACCCAACTGTGGCGTCAACACCTCATCACGTGATACTACCATTTCCAGATGTGGCTGATACTTTCTACACCCAGCCTTAGGTAAGCAAATCAGGTTCCGGATCACCTTAGGTACATGAGGTAGCTGTGGAGCCAATCATCACGACGACAGACCGTTGGCGAAGCTTCATCGAACAATTGTCTGCTGAAGCAGGACATTAGCTAATTGTTCCACAAAGCCGAGCTCATCTTTGGATTCTATATTCTCTCTCATTCGTTCTTTTACGAATTCAATATGTTAATCATGTCTGGTGCCCAGTCACTTGACATACCTCATCTCGCTCGACTGATTGATATACGGATCAGTACTTACTTACATATCAGGAGCGTCGTAATATACCTTATCCACCAGGCATACGAAGTGGTGCTAGGTTTCCAAAGTTCGAATGAAATGAGGGTATAGCTATGGTCTACGTGTCCTCCTCATCTAGGTTCAATTGTTGCTCATTGCCTGATCAATTCCTCTTCTAAAAAGAATTGTGGAATCTATTTCCTTCTTTGCAATATCATAATTCCTAGTATTCAATATCAAGGCTCAAATGCCCAAATTGAATAGCACTATCTCTAGTCAAGATAAATATCATGTCACACTCAAGACAAATCTACACTTCAGGAGCTCAAAGCGTACATGTTGCATAGCATTAAGTGGTCAGTTAAGCAGGTTTGTTGTCATACAGACCAATCCACCTCAGCTTTCATGTCGCCTTTGTCAACAGACCGAATGTTCTCACCGAGCATCTTCAACACCTGAGGCAGGCCTGTGTGTTGACTTCACCACCGCCCCTTCCCTCTCGCTTCCCCCCCTCTGCCCGACGCGCCTGCCCATCACGCGCTTCACTGTTTATTTTCCCTCCCACAAAATTATTTCCATTCTGGCTTCTCCAACTACCGCAAACCCCACGCTTCTCATTTCCTCCCATCCATCCTCTCATACACCAACAACCTCATCTCTTGCTCCTCCGCCCCTCGCATCAGATATTGTCTTTCTATGAGCTTCAGCACTACTCCGCGATTGGCCATATTGGAAGCTTTGTGTAGGCAGTTTTTTGTTGTGTTGAGACCGAGAGAGTATGTCACCAATACTCCGCATTTTACCATATTCTCCAACACTGACTGATCTTGGTCCAGATTCTCCCTGCTCGACCAAACTTTTGGGGCTTGGACAACGAGAATCCTGCTTGGATCACACTATCCTCTAACGGCTTCATTGTGCCAGCTTTCCGACTTGCTTCACTGCTTCTATACAATCCATCCATCAACGTACCCGAGTCTTCTCCTTTTGGTAGCTGTAACCAACCTCCAGCGCAACAATGGCTTCAAAACCAAAGAAAAGCGAAAGCTCGCAGCTTTCGCGTTATCGATCAGATCCCGCTCACTCACTTGCACACACTGCGAGCACTACTCGCCAGACTTCTTCGTCTACTCAGTCCCAGCTCCGCCCATCGACTCCAGGAATCAATGAAGGTGATCGATCCACTCCGCTCTCGAGGCTCTTTCGACGCAACCGAACCAACACTTCACTCAACACCGCTCACCAGTTAGCCTTGGAAGCCCCCTCTTCCCAAATGGAGAGCAGTCCGCCAGCACCAACTCCGGCCCCAGCTCCACCACCGCCTCTTCCCACTCCCCTTCTGGCGGGATGTCCAGGCCGCGAGATCACGGGCGCAAAGACCAACGGCCGCGAATGGGCTTGCGACTTGGATGAGCCTCCGGTCTTGGGCTACTCCGAAGAATTGTCCAAGACTGACTTTGAGGAACACCCCCTGGGCCGTTTCATCAAGCTGGAAAAGGGTTGGGAGAAACACCAGCTTGCCATGTACGGCCTCATTCTGCCAGCCAAGGTCGAGAACGGCACCCCTATCTATACTTGGGAAAGCGACTCTGAAGACGAAGAGGATATGGACAAGGCGTTGGTGCTTTCCAAGGAGAAAAGACTGCCCGCTAAGCCTCCCACTCAAGTGGAGCGACCAAGAACGCCCTCGAACATTCTTCACAAAGTCAAGTCTTTTGCAAACTTCATTGCTACATCGGATGCAGAGAAGGATGTTCCCGAGCTCCCAACACTGAAAGAACTACTCGATCAGTTTGGCCTGCCCCCCGGTACCCCAAGCGACACGGCGCCTCGGAGCTTTCTTCGTACGACCCGGTCGAGCAGCTCTCTGCGCCCAAAGACTCCCACTCGACCTGTTCCCAGTGCTACCAAGCTACGCAGCAAGCGAAGCGCAGGAATCGAAAGATCCCAGATTTCTAACCCCATTGCCCCCGAGGAGATGAGACGGGTTGGGTCTGATTTCAGCCAGGCTGTGGCTCGACGCGGCAGAAATGTTCCCGGAGGTGAGCGAGATTCGCTCTACGCATCATCTTTGCGAAGCCCATCAAACTTGATCTCCCCGTCCCTTTCGACGAGTGTCCCTCTGTATCTACTTCAGCCTCAACACCCTACCGTCTACTTTGGGCAGAACGAGCCCCCTCCCGAGTTTCGACATGCCCCGCCTCGTCTAGCTCCCATGGAGTACATTCGTCAGTATTACATTGCCAAAGCCAAGGCAAAGAGGGAAGGAGTCGACTGCACAATTCGCAAGCCTGCTGTAATCTGGGCTTGGACAGAAGACTTCAAGGAGTTCCTCTTGCTTCCGCAACTTCCCGCAGGCCTTCAGAGAAACTTCTTGCCGGACGATGGCAAAGACTGCAAGTTTTCCAAGATGGGTCGGTCATCCAAGAACAAAGATGTTGGCAAAAGACGCTCCTTCGTTCCTCTTCCTTTGGATCTTGGCCCTTCTACTCCACTCATGCCTGCTCACTTCCGCAGCAACTCATACTCTTTCATCGGCTCAGACCACAAGTATCGTTCATCTAGTGATGGATTTTTACTTGATCGTCCCACAGCGGCCAGATATGAGAGTCTCGTGCAGTCAACAAGGTTGCTGCTCGATGACCCTTCCACCCCCCTGGTTGAAGAAGAGAAAGATTGCTTTGTTGGTGTTTGTCTTAGTACTACCAGTGAGGCGAAGCCCTTGTCTCGCTCCGGAATGATTCAGGCATCTCCTCTGGACAGAGCTTCTATCACTGCACCGCCCCTGCGCTTTGCTTCCCACCGAGCTTCCAGTGAAGCTCAGCCGACAGATGCGCTCACGGCTACCCTTCCTCATCCTTGCAATGCCAAACAGCTGCCCGCTGAAAGTCATCGTCGGGTCAGCAATATCACGCAGGCTACCTCGAATGAAGTGGCTCCGCCCGATGCTTCTTTCCAAAGAATCACTGCACCGATCTCATTATCCACAACCAGTGTTGAAGGAAGCTTACCTGCACGTCGTGCACAAAGTGGAATGACAGAAGCGTCTTCGCCTTGCTATGGTTCTGCAACTTCTTATGAAAGATATCACCAGCAGTTTACACTGACAGCCACGGGTTACAGAGACGAAAACAATGTATCGCCTCTCAGTTTCGAGCATTTGAATGAAATGCCTTTTACTGGAAACGTGTCCCCTTTGAGCAATTCTCCTGCATCTGCACAGACTGAGGTCTTTGCGCCAATGGTCACGCGGAGACAGGAGACTCAACAGACTTTGGACGACGCTCTGACACCAGTGGTTGAAGATGAGACATTTCACCAAAGCATCTCAGATGATGCAGCTGATATTGCAGACACTTCTTCCGTTTACTCACAGAATAGTGCTGTCACTGCAGTTCACCATCCTTTGACTGGATGTCGCCCTTCTTCTACGGACTTGATGTTGCTGGCGCCTACGACCAGTGAGCTTGAGAATGGAGAGGGTTTGACCCCGCGCCAACCAGAGAACCTTCCTTCCCATGTCGCTCACTTCCAGGAAAGAGCTTCACGACGCTCACCAGTCCTCGAAGCCACCTCATGCGTTCCAAGCCCAGAGACTGCCCAGTCTTATATCGGTTATGAGGAAACTGATGATACTGCTGATCACAGATACTCCGAAGCTCCATCCAGTTCAATCAGCAACTTTTCATCGCAAGCGACTGGATCTGCCGTGGACCGTCACGATCGCTACTCGACTGCATCTCGTGTGAGTACAGCCACATCTGTGTCAACAGCCGCCTCTCTTCGACTTCCTATCCAGGGCACTCCTGCAAGCCTTGAAAGCGACTATGCCAAAGTCAGCAGCAAGTATGCGCGCCATGTGGCTACCGAGATGTCGGCTCCGGAAGCTTCTTCAAGAATCTCCAGCATGCGGGCCCAAGATCCTCTCCCGCCCTCCCAAAGCTCTGTCACCAGGAACCTATCGTCTTCCCCTCACATTCCTTCCTCAGTTACCTCAGCCGACACTGCCGCGTACTACCGCCAGAAGCGCCTTCCCAAACGACCTGAGCCGGCTCATAAAGACCCTGTCACCGAGGCCATTGAGTCCTCTCGCAATTCGGAGCTTCCATCTCTCCACGTCAGAAGACGCAGGGCTGTCCCGAGCCTTCCTCAAATCTCAGCATCCCAGGCATACCCGAAGCCGCTGAGGCTGAGCACGATGAAGAGCCCCAGCCCAGCTCCTACGGCGTCAAGCGCCGACCGCGCAGCTTCCGCTGCCAGCACTGGAACTGTCGCTCGTTCAACTTCGAGACTCATCACGGATATCGGAAACGAGTTGAACCGCGAAATGGAAGAGGTCTTGTCGCCTCGCTCCGCTGCCATGGCTCACCACCCGCTGACGCCGAAGAAGGAAGTCGACGTCGATACGCCTACTCGTCGCCCTCGCCAAGTTCAGTCGATGAAGGCGATCCCTTTCAACGCGCCTCCTCTCCCGGCGCCCAACAAGCCGCTTCCTTCGATTCCGCAGCCCAAGACGCCGAAGCCCAAGCCGAAGAGTGAGGCTCCTGACTCTGCCTTC